TGTCCCAAGGTTGAGGATTGGGAATTGCTGGCTAGAACTACGAATGGCTCCCAAGTAGCTCTCACTTGGCAAGAATTTCCATGTTACCACACCTGCGCTCCGACCACCCTTGCCCACCACCGTTCGAGTGTCAAGATTTTATCCGGTTCGACTTGTGGAGAACCATCTGAGCTGTATGGCGGCAATGTGGGTACTGCTGCAGCTTGGTTTCCAATCTTACGCCGCAATAATGACACATGGAACACTGGATGTATTCGAGAATCGACCGGTAACTCTAGTCGATACGCCACACGTCCCACCCGCTCGATCACTTTAAATGGACCATAGAAACGACTGGCAAGCTTTTGATAAATTCGTTTAAATACGGAGTGTTGCCGATAAGGCTGGAGTCGCAAATACACCCAATCTCCCACTTCAAAGTTTTCCTCGCGGCGATGTTTATCGGCGACCTGTTTCATTCTATTCCTTGCAGTTGCCAAGTTCTCCTTAAGCTCCTTCAACAACTCATCTCTCGAACGAAGTGCATAATCTACCTCCTGCACCACCGCCATCCCTGGTATATATTGGATTAACGGCGGCGGAGGTCTCCCGTAAACGGCTTCAAAAGGCGACATCCCAATAGATTGGTGAAACGAGGAATTATACCAGAATTCAGCCCATGCTAAGAAGTCTTCCCAAAGTCGCGGTTTAAGACACACGAAGCATCGTAAGTATTGCTCGAGACATCGATTCACCACTTATGTTTGCCCGTCTGTCTCGGGGTGATACGCCGAGCTTGTCTTCAGCTCCGTGCCTTGCAAGCGAAACAATTCCTTCCAAAATTGGCTCAAAAAAACCTTGTCCCTGTCGGAAACAATGGACATTGGCAAACCGTGTAACTTTACCACCCCACGAATAAATATGTTGGCCACATCTTTAGCCGTGAAAGGGTGAGCCAAGGTTAAGAAATGAGCATATTTTGACAATCGATCCACAACGACCAAAATTGTATCTTTTCCACGCGATCTCGGCAAACCCTCGATGAAATCCATGCTAATGTCTGACCAAATTAACTCGGGAATGGGTAAAGGTTCCAGTAACCCAGCTGGTTTACGCAAATATGCCTTGTTCCGTTGGCACATGTCGCACTCTCGAATAAACCTCTTGACATCGCTGCGCAACCCTTGCCAATAAAATATTTGTGAAATCCGCTTAATGGTTTTAAGAACACCCGCGTGGCCTGCTGAGGGAGAACAATGAAACTCCCGCAATAATTTCTCGCGAAGGGGCAACACTTCAGGCACCACTACTCGGCCTTTGAACCACACACATCCATTGCGCCACTCATGCCCCTTGGAACTCAGTGGATCTGCCTTCAATTTTTGTTGCAACTCTTTAAGTTGCGGATCTCCACGAGTTGCTCGAGCGATTTCATTCCAAATATCCCAATTTGGTAGCGTGATTGCTCCCAATTCACCCTCCGTCTCTTGATCAACCTCGGACATGTTGAGGTTCTCGTCGTCTAGTTGTTCACGGCGAGATAGAGCATCGGCTGCCCCGTTCTCTTTTCCGGGCTTGTATACTATCTCGAAATCAAATCCCAAAAGCTTGGCTATCCATTTCTGTTGTTCCGGGGTTGTGATTCTTTGCTCGAGCAAACAACGTAAGCTTTTATGGTCGGTGCATATTTGAAACCGTCGCCCAAGTAAATAAGGTCGCCAGCTCCGGACCGCTTCAAGGATTGCTAACATTTCTTTCTCATAAGTCGACCATGCTCGTTTTTTCTCGCTGATTCCCTTGCTAAGGAATGCTATTGGACGTCCATTCTGACTCAAGATTGCACCAATACCATTCCCCGATGCATCTGTCTCTATAACGAATTTTTCGGCGAAATTCGGTAAAGCCAATACAGGTGTTGTCGTCATTGCAAGTTTCAGCACATCGAAAGCCTTCTCTGCTGCCTCATTCCACATGAATTGTCCTTTTTTAAGGAGATTAGTCAGCGGTCGCGCTATCGTTCCGTAGTTCTGCACGAATTTACGGTAATAACCCGTTAACCCCAAAAATCCACGCAACTCTCTTACTGTAGCTGGTTTCGGCCACTCCACCATGGCTTGCACTTTTTGTTGGTCCACACGAACTCCATCTCGAGATATCCAGTGGCCTAGATACTCAACTTGTCGCTGCCCAAAGCAACACTTACTCGGTTTGACGTAAAATTGTCCCTTCCTCAATATTCCAAAGGTCGTATGCAAATGTTTCAAGTGGTCGTTCCAATTGCTACTGTAGATCAATATATCGTCAAAAAAAACGAGTATAAATCGCCGCAAGTATGGTCGAAATATTTCATTCATGGCGGCTTGGAATGTAGATGGTGCATTACACAATCCGAATGGCATCACCAAATATTCATAGTGCCCATTGTGTGCCCGAAATGCAGTCTTGTGGATATCGTCTGGGTGAACGCGTATTTGATGATATCCAGCCCGAAGATCTAATTTGCTAAAAAATTCCGCACCATGAAGTTCATCCAACATATCGTCAACCGTTGGAATTGGAAATCTATCTTTGACAGTGACTTCGTTTAATTTTCTGTAATCTGTACAAAAACGCCAAGATCCATCCTTTCTTTCGTA